GGGGTGGGGGGGGAACCGGGAGGGGGGGCGCTCGCGCGATACTTGGCGGGCGGGGGCGGGGCGGGCCGGTGAGGGCCGGCTCCTCCCGTCCCCTCACGGCGGGGCCTCAGGAGCTGGGGGGCGCGGGGGGGCGTTAGGTGAGGCTTCGGGCTGAAGAGGAGGAGGTTGCCGTTAGAAGGCGGTGCGGAACGGCGGAATGTCGAGACGGACAGGGAGGTGGTGGGAGGTGTTTGCTGAGGAAAGGGGCGCTGAGGGGAGGACGGGGTTCGGGGGAAGAAGGAGCACCGCGGTGGCTGTGGTGCTCAGGGTACCCCCGTCTTCCAGAGACCCGGCTCAAGGGCGTGCGGAGCGCCCTGCTGCTGGCTGAGACCACACATCAAATACGTAGAGCCATGGAATGGTTCGGGTTGGAAAGGACCTCAAAGATCAAGTCCCAACCCCCTGCCCTGGGCAGGGACACCTCCCACCAGACCAGGTTGCTCAAAGCCCCATCCAGCCTGGCCTTGAACCCCTCCAGGGATGGAGCATCCACAAATTTCTCTGGAGAACCTGTGCCAGCGTTTCACCACCCTCACATGAAAGAATTTCTTCCTAAGATATGATCTAAATCTTCCCTCTTTCAGTTTAAAACCATTACCCCTCATCCTACCACTACATGCCCTTGTAAAAAGTCCCTCTCCAGCTTTCTCATAGGTCCCCTTCAGATACTGGAAGGCTGCTCTATGGAACCTTCTTTTCTCCAGACTGAGGTCCAGCTGTGCTTAGCTGTGTTTGCAAACACAGGCTCGAGAACAAACTATAGTAATACTAAAGGTTACTAGGCAGAGATGACCGAATTTCCTAGCATGGAGCCACCCAAGGTCTCATCAGCCTGCTGCTCAGCCATGCAACTCGCTCTGCGCTCCAGGACTGGAACTGGAAACACCAGATGCCGAGACATGCAAACCAGGTTTAGAAATGGTTTGACGACGTTCTGGCAATGCTGCCTTTCTGTTAGCATGCCCCAAGGTGGACCGTGCAGAGTCAGGCACGTTTACCCAGAGAATCCGTCCATGCACAGTGGAGAGTGTGAAACTGTACATGGTTGTTCAGAGGACCACAAGCATCTAAAAACCCTCTCTTCATGCAGCTCTTATGTGTATCATTTCCTGTGTTACCCAACAGAAACACAGAACCCCTCCAGATTCCCTTGTGTGAAGCCATTTTAGCACCTGTATGAATCATGAGGAGGATTATACCTACCTGCTGCAGATACACATAGCTCTGCCATTTGAGCAAATGGAGTTACTTGATAGCTGGAATTAAATTTGCTGTACAAACAAGCAGCTGAATCAGGAGGTGACCAACATTTTCCCAGCAGGTTTCACCGGTGATGTTAAATAAAATGTTGTTTGCAGGTTGTGGAAGTTAATGTGCTCTATGGTATGAAAACACTCACCTACATTATCCTTTGTCATGGCTCCAGTTCTCATCCTCCAGCTGGCTTCAGTCCTAGTCTCTCTCAATAGCTCCTTCCCATTCTAGAAGTATTAGATTTTTCTTTTCATGAGCTCTGAGAGGCTGCAAGCTGTGTGGGTCTGGCAGTGAGAGCACCAGGAGAGAGCATGCAAGAGTCTTCCCACTCCAAGACTGGAGAAGCCACTGTAGAGAAGTTCTTGCTCAGCCCTTGATGAAGTTGCTGAGTTGCTTTCCACTCCAGGAACACCATCAGTTCCTCGGATGCACCGGAACCTTGCAGGGAGAGGATGTCTTCAGTGCAGATTCACTGTCCAGCAGATTTGTACTGAATTCTCTTTCCTTTCTGGTTTCATTGACTAAGCCTATAAGCATTTTCACGGCTACAGCAGCAGAATTACCTAGGACCATCTGTACCAAGCAAAATGTCTCTGCTTCCCCATATGTAGTAGAGTGGACTAATTCTCAGACAAGCTTCTGTTCTAATTTTAATAAGAGAAAACCAGCATGTCTTACCTGATTTTCATGAAAGCTTAATAAGAAATTTTGCTGAAACAACCAGACAAAAATCCAAGGTGTGGAAATTTCAGCCAAACCACAAAAATTTGTTGAAGTAAAATCTTCGAAACAAGCACCTGAAAATAGGGTATTGTGAGGAACTAAGACTGCTAAACTGTGCTAAAATAGAGCTCTGATAGTATCATACTGTATAAATATGGCATTATATAAAGTGATGGCGTAGTTCTTTCCATCAGAATGCATTTTCATACATAAATTGAATATCTGAAAAACAGATATGGCTAAACAGCGTGGTTTTCCTTCCTTAAAGACTCATGTTTTTGTTAGATGATGGAAAAAGACAGAGAAAAGGAAGCATAAGCCCTTTCTTCAATCACCTTATTAATATACTTTCTTTGCTCACAACCTAGTTGCTAAGCAAGTTATTCCAGAGGTTGGTTCTCAGAGCCATGATCTGAATATATTTGTTTCTGGCTCTTTAAAGGTCTTGACTAACCAGAGGGAGGAATCTGAGCACTCTCACTGGTATCTAGCAAAGCACATTAAAGTATCATTAAGTATTTTAAGCATGTGCTCAAATACATTGCTGATTAGGGATGGAACTATTCGGATGTGTAAGTACTTTTCTCACCTGGCACTGGAGATACTGTTCACATGTCAGTTAATGTAATATTAATTTGCTGACCTTTCTCTGGCGCCGCTTCAAATATTTGTAGTTTAGCAATTTTTACTACAAAGAGTTTAAGTGATTTGGAGCCTTGTTTAAATCCTAGGGCATCTTCAGACGCCTTTTGAGAAATGTAGCAGAGGAGGTTTCAGCAGTGGCCAACAGTAGCTCTGTCCCAAGCTCTGTCTCCTTCCACCTGTGCGACAACAGGTCATCTGCCCACACTCCATCCCACAGCTTAAACCTATCCTCGGCAGAAACATCGACAGTTTACTTCGGCTATGCACTGAAGCACCCTTTTCTCCTTCAAATTTTTGTGGGGACATCCCTCCAGGAAAGGTAAACAGCAACACGACCACATTTACCTGCTGTGGGAGCACATTAGTGCCCCACATGCTCATGCACTAGGGAGAAAGGATCTCAAATGGTTGGCAGTTATTGGAAAGAAGCCTATGTCTAAGACACAAGGGATACGTGTGTGTGTGTGGTTTTAGTGCTTAGAGTCTGCACACTAGCAGTTGTACGCTGCCTTGAGCTTTCTCCCATTGGCACATCTGAAAGCTTCATAACTGAATTACGTTGTTGGAACATTGTACCAAAGTTTGACTTAATGTAATTTAAGTATTATAGATTTGCCAATTACATAGTTTGATGTTGGCTGATTCAGTTATAAGGTTCATAATGTTCTTATTATTCTACATTTAAAACACATTATTCATAATTTGGTGAAATTTAAAAGGACTAAATAGCCAGTAGATGGCACCAATAAATGCTGCTGTGAGACTTAAAATTGAAAAGTGCAATTCTTGTCTTTTTCTCAAATGCATTTGGCAATGAAAAAAAACTAGACTAAACAGCATTATTGATATAATTTATACTTACTAGTTTACAGTAAGTCAGGGAAAACATTTCAGTTTATAAAAAGAGTGTGTTTCCTAAGTCAAAACTCTACCGTTTAGTTGAACACATAAACTCACGAGAAAGGCTTAGTAGGAACACACAGATGTGTTACAGTGGTTATTTAGAAAATCCAGTCCTTGATGAGTTAATGCCCTCTGAGTACTTCTCCTATCTCATGCAGCTGTGTCAGCTTAAACCTTTCTTTATAATACTTTTTATTCCATAAAGCCTCTAAACTGGAACCTTCCCCCAACCCACAATAGCAATGAAAACTGGAGAAGGAAGTATATTGAGAAAGCCAGAAGGTTTATGCATTGCCGTGTGCTAACTGCATTACTGGGTGCTTGGAACCTGTGTCATCTTCTTCCCTGAACAAAGTATGACCTATTTAGAAAAGTCCTTCAAAATATTACGGCTGCGTGGGTTGTGGCACCCACACATAAGATGTTGATTTCCTTTATGCTAGAAGGAACTAATCTTTTATTTGTCTGTAAATGACAACACTGTGCCTTCCTAGCGTTGCTTTAATAAAACAGTGATTATGCTAATAGTATTCCTTTCCCAGCAGGTTACCTCACCTAGCCCCGGATATTAAGCACAATGTAAACTAAACAGGAAATATGCTTGTGAAGAGTAAACTTTCCTAAGAATGATCAAGGATATTTCATTCCTTGTGGACTTTTAACAGCCGCCTTCACTCCTGATAAATGCGCAGCCTGTTGTCTTGGGTGACAGCAGCAGCAGCAGCAGAAGCAGCGATGGTGAGTGTTTGTCTCACAGAGCCCCTCTTATCTTTTGTTTCTGCAGCTGGGGCAGTGCTTGCTTTGGACAATGTCACAGAGGCTGGGGGAAAGGAAATCTGTGCTGCAGGGCGTGAGTCATTTCCAATGGAAAAGACGTAAACCAACTGAGCACTCTTGTTAGAGTGGGCAGGCAAGGTACAGGTGACACCGACAGCAAAACAGAAAGTCCTGACCTAATGGCCCGTGTTGAAGCTTTTTTATTCGCTCCCTCCAAAATGTGGATGTGTTTACTTGAGTTGAACTGTCCCTATCAATACGATGTGCAATGAGCAAAGCAGGATTGTCTTCGCACACATTTCAAATGCTGCTTTTAGAGTCAGTAGTTCAAGGTATTTGTTGAAACATGAGGATGCCAAGTATAGAACAAAACAATAGTTTTGGAAGCTCAGGCGCTAACTACTACAAGGTCATTTCAAAGTTACTAATCAACATATTACAGGTAGTCTAATGAGCATCCACAACACTGTTCC